GGGGGGGTGCGTGGGGCGGGGGGGGGAAATCACACGTGTGTCTCTTACTCTCAGATTTCAGTCTGTACCTACACGCAGGGTTGGAGGGGAGTCTCCTGCCTCATGAACCGCTGCTGGTGGGGGCTCAGGGAACCCGTTTAATCCAGACAGATTTTCCACGAGCTTCGCAGAGGACAAAGCATTTGCATGGCACAAAACAGAAGGTTGGGAGAGGATGGAGAGAAGGAGTGTTTTTTTAAAAAAAAAGAGGCATTAATATCCAACCTTGACCGTCCCTTCACAAGATTCATTCTAATTCCACCTAAACCACACCAGCCCCTGATTCACCTGAGACTAATTGGGCTTCAGTGACTATACTTGCAATCCAGGGATACCCCAGTCAGTTTATGCCTCTTTCCCCTTGCCCAGATTTGTGTAGAAGAGGAGCTCAGCACAATTTCATTTTGTTATCAAGGAAAAAAAAATAAGGTGGTCGGTGATCACTGTCCCAACAGGGAGCTCAGGTGGGGTGTGATGCTCGGCAGCGCCTGCGGGAATCACATCCCATGGGGACCATCTCCTGCCATGCTCTGATGGGGCTTCCAGCCCTGCCCAGAGCCCAGCTCTCACGGGCTCCTTCCTTCCTCTCCCTCCATCCTCTCCCTCCTTCCTTTCTCTAATCATAGCATCACTTTAGGAAGAGCTGTGATACCGACCCTGCACAACTAATGCCTAACCACCTCTCAGCGGGGTCGATATAGCTGTATTTTTACCACCAGCCCCTATTTCCAGGGGTCCGTGGAAGATCTTTGGGCTTAAACAACAAAACATCTCCTTTAGGAGAGGGTCTATTTTCTCTTTAACGAGCAATAGACCTGGCACGCCATTACGGCTGTCAGTAACTTAGTCAAAAGATCGAAATAAGTCACATAAGCAAAACTTAACTAATTGCTCCTGAGTGCTCCAGTGTGACCACAAAGGGTTTTTTCCAGCCAAGCAGTGCCCTGCCAAAACTCACTGCTCCCAGCCTGCACACACCAGGCAGAAACCAGCCTTCTCCTGCCTGTCGGAGGCTGGGAGCGATGGCACTGCTCACCCTTCCCTTGGCAACAACCGGAGAAGAAAATGAGTTTTCCCTGCCCAAGGAGCAGGAGCTGCCCAACCACTCGACCCAGCTCCCAGGTCCTTCAGGGAGGAAGCTGGAAACAGAACTGACCAGGCTGTGCTGGTGATAGGAAAACTTCCGTAGAACCCTTTTATAAATTGTCCAAAACTATTTTCTGCCCAACACCTAATTACCACAATCCATGAATCAGGAGATACGGTTGAACAGCTTCCAGGCTCTTCTCAGGCAGGCAACCTGATCCCGAATAAATCAAGGGCTTTGGATTTACTTGTAGCACAGCAAAAACTACATACTCTTTAGTTTATGACAAAGGGCCGTGGTTTCCAAAGCAGTCTCTGGTTCCAACAGCTGTCCTGAAACACCAGTAGGGATGCTGTTGTTATTAGGCAATGAATTTGTACCCCTAGTTACTTTGCTCAGCTCTGAAACTGGATCCTCTCTATCAACCCCTTGAATGCTAACAGCGTCCCACAAAACCAGCAGGGTTCTTTGGGAACAAAGACAACTCCAGGACTTAAAAAAATTAAATAATATATTCCCACCCACCCCACCCCCCCTCGTTGGAGAATAAGATGAGATTATTTCTTCGCTTACAGATTGGAAATTCATAGGCAGGACTGCAACTTAACTTAGTTAGTAATACTCAAGGTGTATGAAGTGCTTATTTTGGTGTTCTTTCCCACCCCTAAACTGGCAATGCCTGAATAGCACTCTGAATGGTTAGGATGAAACGCTCTCCGGGTCATCTGAGACTCAAACAGATTTTGAGGAATTTTTATAGTTGATTTCTAGTAGCACAACCGATAACGTCCTTCTGGAGGCTGTGATTTCCCCGGCAGGCAGTAACGGGCCAGCCTGGGACTGTGGCTAACGTCGTACAGACTGCCTTAATATCTGCACCTCTTTCTGACTCCTTGAATGTATCTCGCTGCCTCTGCTCCAGCAAGGATGACCACAAGCACACAGTAGCATCAGCAATGCAACTCGGGAACATTCAGCTTGTTTTTCTGACAATTCGTACATTTTACTCCCTCCAGTTCTTATTTCCAGAGCAAATTTTTCTCCATACGGATGCCTCTTCCTCCTTAGCACTGTTCCCTCCTCTCCCTCTTTCCTTTCTCCTTGGGAAACTGTTTGGGTTTTGAAAACTAGAGGGACTGCTATGGAGCTGGTAGCTCAGCCTGGGTAAATAACCCTGCTTTAGCAGCTTGCCTTCCTTTTCACCACTGACCAGTCTACTGGAAGGACTGGTTTTCTGCTAAAAACCCCAAGTACTGCCAACACAACAGCCTGGCCTAAAAGGACCTAGGAGAAAACAGCTACTGACGATGGAAGATAGAACTCAAAACTTTCCAGGAGAGCAACCAGGCTGCAACCACCTGCAGAAGAAAAGACCAGCTCTTGGGCAAATGGGCAATTATTTTCCCAAGACCTTAGCAGAAGACACCAAAGGGAAGAAAGGGGAACAGGAGAGATCTTGATACTAACTCTTCCCCAGCTCCTTGCCTCTCTCAGACTCTCAAAAAAAATTCCCTTTTCACGAAAAAATGTTCAGTTGCTCAAATCCAGATAATAAAAACTGTGCAATGTGATAGTCGGAACTGATTTCCAAGTGTCATGCATGGTCCTTGCTGTTGCAAGAGAAAAAATGTCTGCAAAGAACGGGTCACCAACCCTTTGTAACCAGCCCTGTGTTTTTCATGTTCATTGTACTCACAGGCACAAAAACAGTTTGGTGAAAACGTAAGATGCTGGTTACTTTTTCAGGCAAAACCTCTCCGGCTCCTATAGTTTCTTCACCTCCCTCCAAAATATCCCAACCCTCTGGCTTGGAATTCAAGCAGATTCATACGTGCCTTGATGTAGAAGTTCTCCATCCTTTAACTGGAGCAGGTCAAACAGATCCCACCCAAAGAGCCCTGGAAGCCTGGAGAAATCTGCTTTGTTAACGAAGTGAAATTAGGAGATATTCCAGAAGTTTCAGTAAAACTGCCAACTTAGATGGATGTAAAGTTCACGTGACCTGGCTTGGCTTTGTCTCCAACCTGGGCAAAACGCAGCCTTTCTCTGAAAATAATGAGATGAAATCTTGTCCGCTTTCTCTCTTGATAAAGGTCATTCATTCGCACTGTAATGAGACACAAACACACACACACAAAAAAAAAATCTGTAAAACATACTGGGAGCCTGCCAGGGTTTATTTAACCCAACTAAACTATGTTATTGGCTCCGTGAGCACTTGGCAACAGAGAGAGGCCACGAGTTGGAAACACAGAGTTTGTTTTAGGGCAGATAATACAATGATAGGCAGGAAAGGACTGGCGTTGCTTCTTGACTGTCACTTGTTGGTGGGGACTGGAGAAGCTGGAGGACCAGGATGGTCAAAGATGGTTGGGAGAGAAAAACATTAAGTGAAATAAGTGCAGCGAAGGCAAGAGAAGCCTCTGGGTAGGAGAGAGAGGGGCATGTGTTTGGGGAGAAGTACAGAGATGGGAGAAATGTGGGAAGGGGACAGGCTTGGGGGGTGGGGGGCGCATGACAGAGTGGGAGAAGAAATACCAATGGGGTGGAGAGAGAAGAAAAAAGCAACTTGGAATCAGGTGCCCCATATTGTCCCACTCATCGCTGGTATCTGCCTGAAGAACAGCATACTCTGGGGACACGAGGCAAGAAAGGGCAGAGCACAGGCTGAAAGGAGATGGCAGAGGCT